CCCTTTGCAGAGAAACAGCCCCAAAGCATGATGTTTCCACCCCCATGCTTCACAGTAGGTATGGTGTTCTTTGGATGCAACTCAGCATTCTTTCTCCTCCAAACACGACAAGTTGAGTTTTTACCAAAAAGTTCTATTTTGGTTTCATCTGACCATATGACATTCTCCCAGTCCTCTTCTGGATCATCCAAATGCTCTCTAGCAAACTTCAGACGGGCCTGGACATGTACTGGCTTAAGCAGGGGGACACGTCTGTCACTGCAGGATTTGAGTCCCTGGCGGTGCAGTGTGTTACTGATGGTAGCCTTTGTTACTTTGGTCCCAGCTCTCTGCAGGTCATTCACTAGGTCCCTCCGTGTGGTTCTGGGATTTTTGCTCACAGTTCTTGTGATCATTTTGACCCCACGGGGTGAGATCTTGCGTGGAGCCCCAGATCGCGGGAGATTATCAGTGGTCTTGTATGTCTTCCATTTTCTAATAATTGCTCCCACAGTTGATTTCTTCACACTAAGCTGCTTACCTATTGCAGATTCAGTCTTTCCAGCCTGGTGCAGGTCTACAATTTTTTTTCTGGTGTCCTTTGACAGCTCTTTGGTCTTGGCCATGGTGGAGTTTGGAGTGTGACTGTTTGAGGTTGTGGACAGGTGTCTTTTATACTGATAACGAGTTCAAACAGATGCCATTAATACAGGTAACCAGTGGAGGACAGAGGAGCCTCTTAAAGAAGAAGTTACAGGTCTGTGAGAGCCAGAAATCTTGCTTGTTTGTAGGTGACCAAATACTTATTTTACCGAGGAATTTACCAATTAATTCTTTAAAAATCCTACAATGTGATTTTCTGGATTTTTTTTCTCATTTTGTCTCTCATAGTTGAGGTACACCTATGATGAAAATTACAGGCCTCTCTCATCTTTTTAAGTGGGAGAACTTGCACAATTGGTGGCTGACTAAATACTTTTTTGCCCCACTGTATATATTTTGACATTAGATTATATTTACCCGTGTTACATTATTTTTGTTTTTTAATAAATTTTAAGGGAGTGTTAGATCACTTCTAAAAGATCATTTAAATGTAACAATAATATGTGACCCTGGAGCACAAAAGCAGTGTTAAGTCGCTGGGGTATATTTGTAGCAATAGCCAACAATACATTGTATGGGTCAAAATTATAAATTTTTCTTTTATGCCAAAAATCATTAGGATATTAAGTAAAGATCATGTTCCATGAAGCTATTTTGTAAATTTCCTACTGTAAATATATTAAAACTTAATTTTTGATTAGTAATATGCATTGCTAAGAACTTCATTTGGACAACTTTAAAGATGATTTTCTCAATATTTAGATTTTTTTGCTCCCTCAGATTCCAGATTTTCAAATAGTTGTATCTCGACCAAATATTGTCCTATCCTAACAAACCATAAATCAATGGAAATCTTATCTATTCAGCTTTCAGATGATGTATAAACCTCAAATTCAAAAAATTTACCCTTTATAACAGGTTTTGTGGTCCAGGGTCACATATATATGCATGCATATGCAACAATTAAATATTCAATACCAACCAATATAGATGAATTTAAAAAAAAATCTCTAAAATCAGCTGACAGAATAATTTAAATGGTACCGATACATATCATGCAACCCAAAATTAATTCAAGGACATTTTAGAGTTGCAACTTGATGCTTAACCAGTCGAGAACCACTGCTTCACAGTTTCCATTTGTCTACCAACATGGCCATGGATCCAGTCAGCTTTTACCCTTTGTTCCAGCAGGGCTCTGCGGATGGACACTCTCTGCTCCAGGTCTTTCACCTCCCTCTCGTGCTGGGTGTCGGTGTGCATCTTAATTTTGCTCTGGTACGCATTGAGCAGCTCCAGCTCCTGCTGCAGCTGCATCCTCAGCACCTGATACTCCGCTTCCTGCGTCTCGTCCAATCGCAGCTGGAGAGAAACGGCACAAAACACCAAAGGTCAATGAAGTAGGGGAACTCAGCTGCGGCTGCTGGGATCAGATGTAGGGTGATATACCTCACCATGTAGAGTGTTGAGAGTATGTCATTGATGGTGTTGGTCTGAGTGAGGGTTTTTGTTGGTCAGAGTGGAATGGGAATTGTGATTCATGTGTCCTTGCCTTACTCACAGCCTGTGTGGACAGCATGTCGTTGATGGAGTGGTCGTACTGCTCGGCCAGAATAGCCAGCTTACGAGTCTGCTCGTCTTTCAGACGCTTCAGCACGGCCTTGTGGTCCGACTTCGGGGTGTTTTCCAGCAGGTGGTTCCTCAGAGCTTTATACTGACGTGTTTGGATCTTACACGTGTCCTGGAACTGACGCTTAATCTGCAGCTCTTTGGACTACAAGAACAGGGAAGAGGGTGGTAACAAGATTCGAAAACAGACGGCTGGGGAAAGAGCACAACTGTGCTGTCAGTTATAGATTACTTTCAAATGTCATTTATTTTAATGTTGCGTGTGAAAATCAGTTTTTGTAAATTCAGAAATGTTGGCATTTTTATTTAGAGAAAAGTTTACATTTATTCATTTTTACCTAATAAAACATTTTAGACAAGTAAATAATAGTGTATAATTCCTCGAAGATCTAATTTGAGGTGCAGCAATAAGAATTCATAAGAAACATGCTTGGAGAAAAAAAAATTAAAGCACCAGCATCAGGACTATATGAATGAAAAACAAAACTGAGATGAAGAATTCTGACAAAATGACTTAAAATAACAAAATATAAAATGAACCAAAGGACAATGATTATAATAAAGAAAATTTATTTCAGAAATGTATGACAGAAATCTTTGCTTAAACATCCATTCATGCACAAACACACAAAATGAGGATGAAACGCACACGCAATGGCCTTGAAACAGACGGTGCAATGCAACGCATAAAATAACAAACATTCCTCAAATAATAATTAAGACAATTTGTGATTTGGTTAAAAAAAAAACTAAAGGGAGCACAGCATTTGTAAACATTAAATAACAAGACAAAAAATTAACAAATAACACAAACTTAAAATCTTAAATAGCCAAAAAACTGGAACAAATATGGCTAAAATTGAAATTAAGATTTCTATGAAGACCTTTTAGTATTTGGGGAGTGTTTACAGAGCATTTCAAATAAAGATGATTTGTGTGCAGTGCAAGCTTTTCTTATTCAATCCAACTATCAACCTCTTCATTTCTTACGTTACAACTCCGTTTTAATCTTTGGTTTTTAATTTGCATACTTCCTGTCCAACTTTACATTAAGATGATTGTCATAATGGCTTCTTATTATAGCCTTTAATATGCATTAATAGAGTACTAATAAATATAAAATCACAGTGCCATGCAAACGTTAAAAAACTAGGGCTAACTTGAATAAATTGCTTCATCTAAACAGGCTAGACCTCTCTTCATAAGGATATGATCAAAACACTTGTTTACATGGTAAATATGATCAGATCATTGCGTCTAGTGCAATAACACATATCTTTCTAAAAACCAGTATATAATATATCCCCAACTCCACCAGTCTACAAAGACATTTGCTCATATACCGTTGAGTAAAAATTGTTTTTGGTGCTAAACTATCTCAAGTATATGAACTTCTATGTGCCACAAAAGCACATCAACCTCCCATCTCTTTAATAATACAACAGGATCCTCTTTGATATTTTCATCTAAATAAAACTGCATGTCTCATATACTGAATTTATAACATGTCACCCACATTTCGGAGTAAATATTTCACCTGAAGTTATGAGATTGATGTTTAATTTAACTTACAATAAAGTGGCCGAAACTGAATTAACAGCATTGTTCATCTATCTGATGGTGGAAAAACGAGTGAACTAACAGCACACTATTCAAAATGATTCACTAACCCTAACATATAATATATAACTGCTGCAAGTGATTTTGGCAAGGATGTAGATTTTACTTTGCTAAATATTTCAAGCATTTGATTGCCATTTATGAGGTCCTGCCTCGAAAATTTCCAGTGAGAGGACTCTCTAAATTTCTTTTTAAAGTTTTAGCTGCTTTTAGTTGCTCTGAAGCTTTTGAAATGGTACGAAACACTGATTTTGCAACAGTATGCAGCCTTGTTTCTATTTCAATACAAAAATTATTTGAGAGGTAGGAAAAACCATTGGCGCTTCATCTAACGAACTTCTATTGCACTTCTGGAAGAGTACGTTTGTAGTGTTGTTTTTTGGGAGATCTATAGTGTAAAGCATTGTATTATGACCCACTTTCACAGTAGGCACAGTGAATTAATTTAGCATTTAACATGCATGGCTTCATTGAAAGGCCTATGGCCTAAGGTAATTTTCACAGACAGCCATTTTGGTTTCGCAATATATTACAATTTCATTGTTGAAATTAAGACTACCTTCAAAACAAAATAAAAACTAAATCAGGATTGCACAGACATGGCTTCAACAATCACCATAACACATATAGCTCTTGCTATTTGAGAATAAAATAACTTGAGTAAAAAAAATTGAAAAACTCAGAAACTTTTACAAAAAGCACAATAATCAACTGAAGCTTTCCATTCACCTGTGCTGACAGTGAATGAGGGAGTTGAAATAAAACCGTACATTAATCTTAAAGGAACAGTTCACCTAAAAATAGAAATTCTGTCATTTACTTTCACCCTCAGGTCGTTCAAAACACATAAGGCTTTGGTTAATCTTCGAAACACAATTTGATATTTTTAAATGAAACCTGAGAGATTTCTGTCCCTTCATTTAAAGTCCTAGTAACCAAAACTTAGAAGAACAAAAAAGTTCATAAAGGCATTGTAAAACGAATCCGTATGAATCGAGCTGTTTAATTCAAGTCTCGTGAAGAGATATGATCGCTTTATATGATAAGCAGATTTAATTTAGGCAAAATAATCGACACGTACACATAGGGCATATCAAAAACACACAAACACAAATGTGAAGCAAGAGAACCAATGAGGCTCTATGTTTGATTCGCTTTATGTATGTGTGTGTATATGTGAATAAAAGCCTAATCTAAAGGATGATGGACATGCTTTCTTTTTTCTTTTTAAATGGAGAGACTGAAACCTCTCAGGTTCCATTAATTCATTTGTGTTTCGAAGATTAACCACAGGTCTTATGTTTGTGAAACGGTCTGTGGGTGAAATGTGATTCATTTTGTGTGAACTCTTTCTTTAACAGAGTATTTCCCTGTAAAAACAGGCACATAAAGTAGTGCATGTGAGCAAACGGCCTAAAATAAATCAGCAGGAAGAACAGAGAGAAACACAAAGAAAGATGGATGAATGGCATGTTCATGCTCACATACCTCCCTTCCTCCGTCTCAATCTATCTCCAAGGCACCATCTTTCCTTTCAAACTCCTCCCTGAAGAGGTTCTCCTCAACACACTCTCCCACCTCCCCTCTTCCCTGTACATCCTCTCTCTCCTCCTCTCCTTCTCTCTCCTCTCCCTCAGCCTCCGCCTCTGTTCCCTCACGGGTCTAGGCAGGAGAACCGGCAGTTTGCTGGGTCTCTCTCTGCGCAGCAACCCGAAGGCCTGCAGCTGTTTCAGGTAATTTTGCGGCAGCTCCTTCAGCAAACACTTGGCTAAACGCAGCACTACGGAGTTCGCAAGGTCCGTCAGAGTGCCGAGAGGTCGGCAGACAAACCGCCGGCCCAAAAGCAGGCACCGTGCGAACAAAACCGAGGACTTGCTTTTGGCCTGATACTCTGCACGAAGGCTTTTTAAAGGCACGGGGATTCTGGACTGCCGCCCGCCCCAGTTGCGTCCGGCTTTAGGAAACATATCGTAGAGGCTGCGCTCGGTCAGGCCGCCAAGAAGTGACTGGCACACGGTGAAAAGCGGCTTCGGCAGGCGGAAGAGAACTCGCATCCAGAGGCGACTGAGTTTGCGTGGGGTGTTTTGGAGGAAAACCCTGGCCGGACGTACAACCAGGACCACCACAAGGTAGAGGGTGAGGAAAATTGAAGGCGAGCTGAGAAAAGACGCAGAGATCAAGGCTACCGGGACGTAATAGAGTCCCAAGCTTAAAGACAAACCCAGACTGAACAGGCCTGAGCCCCAATACGTTAGCAAAAGGTACGTGGAAAACGAGAGTGAGCAGCAGGAACGCAGGAATAGGTAGGAAAAGAAGAGCGCCAGGAAGGCCAGCTCACCGGAGAGAAGGATCGAAGCGAGCGAAGGAAGTGGAGGCGAGCGTCTCAGGGAAAGCAGGAAGACGGAGAGGAAAAGGAGGGTGAGGACAGACGGCTGCACGGCAGCAGAGAGCGAAAGAGCGAGGCAGATCACGTGAGAAAAGAGCGAGTGAAGGGAAGGTTGGGAAGAAGAGGACGGGGGGGGAGGCGTGTAGACAGGCGGAGGCTCCAGCTCTTCTAATGTATCTGGGAAGTAGAACTCGGAGAGTTCGTCTAGGTCACGCTCATGAGGGCGGTGCTCAAAAGAAGGGCCGTGCATTAGCTCTGACGGACATCCGTCAGCCACACCCCTATCATCTTCCTCACACTCTGATTCGCTACCGTCATCCCAAGGAAGTCCTTCTACTTGTCTGGGATCGGTGTCAGTTTTGTCCTCAACCTGTTGCTGTTCATCTAACTTTTGTTCTTTTGCACTTTCCTCAAAATTGTTAGCCGATATCTCAGCATCTTCCACTTTTCCTTCACTGTCTATCATTTCACATTGGTCAGTAAATGTCTCTTCAGTGTCATTTCCTTCAAGAACTTCTATTTCGCGCTTCTCTTGCTCATCTGTCTCTTCAACAGCACCTACCGGCTCTATCTCATCCCCATCTCTACTCCCTTCATTCAACTGTTCATTTAGCCCCACCCCTTCCAGTTCAAGCCCCACCCCTTCAACAATCCCCTCCCCCTCCATATGAGGCTCATCCTCTTCAAATTCAAGCCCCTCCCCTTCATCATTCTCCCTCTGAGGCCCCTCCCCTTCTTCAGCATTCTCCGCGAGGTCACAGCCACTCACTCTCAGGCTCTTGGGCTGCTGGCGGACTTCAACGGCATGCTTTTGCCGCAACTCTTGCTCACGCCGTTTGTTGTACTCCATCTGGTTAGTGAGCTCAGTCTGGTGCTGCGTCCGGATCAGGTCGGCCCGCGTGCGCTGCACCAGAGCCAGCTGCCTGAACTCCAGCTCCTGAGTCGACTCGTGATGGCGGAGCAACATGGCGCATTCCAGGTCCTTCAAAGTCTGTTTCTTGTTCAGATCCTATGTTGGGACAAGAACAGGGAAAGAAAGGATGCAGAGATGGAGGATGGTGGTTAGAAAAGCATCAGGCAACTGTGGACAGGCATTTAATTAGTGGTTTTCACTGGAATGGTGTTATTTACGAGCTTCCTTTGGAAAGTGTTGGCGGTGTGGAAGTCATTCACTCGCAGCAGTTGTGAGTAGGCGCATCTACGTCAGACCATGATTATCATACTTGCTGGCGTGTTGAACATTGGCCATATGTGCAGTGTTTTCCATTAATTACCTAGACCAGGGGTGTCAAACTCAGTTCCTGGAGGGACGGAGCCCTGCAGAGTTTAGCTTCAACCCTAATTAAACACACCTGATCCAACTAATCAAGTCCTTCAGGCTTATTTGAAAACTACATGGTATGTGTGTTGGAGCAGGGTTGGAACAAACCTCTGCAAGGCTCAGGCCCTCAATTCCTGAGTTTGACACCCCTGACCTAGACTTTGGCCCAGCAATTTTATAATTAACCAAAAATATTTTACATTTCTCATTATAACATAAAAGATCTTGATGTTTAATGTTGAGTTTTGCGACCGTTGCTTTGGCAAAGCATGTCAATCAAATAAATATTGAAACTCTGATATAGATTAGTGTGTATATCAAATTGCAAAATGCTGTGATTTAAAACCGAATTTGATGTGCATTTGAGAACGCCAGTTATGCTTCTACATTGGCATAATTTCCAGCATTACAGCATTTCATTAGATTTGAAATGAGCAGCGTTTGTAAACCTGTTTACACAAAAATATAAATTTAATTTAGAGGTTTTCCACCAAAATAGAAGCTGGATTGAACTCCTAAAAGTGAAGAAATTAAGATTTAGGTTTTGTAATTTTACTACTATAGTGTGAAGTATAGTACTTTATACTAGGAAATATTTATAGTCTAGGAAATATTCTTATTTGTGACCCTGGACCACAAAAAACAGTCTTAAGTCGCTGGGGTATATTTGTAGCAATAGCCAAAAAAACATTGTATGGGTCAAAATTATAGATTTTTCTTTTATGCCAAAAATCATTAGGATATTAAGTAAAGATCATGTTCCATGAAGATATTTTGTAAATGTCCTACTGTAAATATATCAAACCTTAATTTTTGATTAGTAATATGCATTGCTAAGAAATTAATTTGGACAATTTTAAAAGGCGATTTTCTCAGTATTTAGATTTTTTGCACCCTCAGATTCCAGATATTCAAATAGTTGTATCTCGGCCAAATATTGTCCTATCAACAAACCATACATCAATGGAAAGCTTATTTATTCAGCTTTCAGATGATGTAGAAATCTCAATTTCGAAAAATTTACCTTTATGACTGACTATTTTTTCAATGCAGTCTTATTACAATAGTAATATATTTCTGTCCGAGATAATAATAATAAAAAAAAGACAACTCTTAATTTTGCTCTAAAAGGGCATCAAATTAAGGCATTTAACAAAAAAAAAAAATATATATATAAAAAAAATCTCTCTCTATAACCTCTCTCAGCAGGTCTTGCTCCATGTTGTGGCGAACTAGAAGCATCTTCCTCTTGTACTGGCGACATTGCACCTCGTAGTATTGCCTCTGTCTGCGTAGTAAACCCGCCTCCTCTTCTGCCTGGATCTGCTGGAGACACTCCTTCTGCTGAACTAGCCACTCTTGCTTCTCCCGCTTTGGTGTGGACTGGTTCTCATTGAGCTCCTGCACACAGGATGAAACGTTCAACACAACATCTGAGCAAAGCCACAGCCAAACTACCTAAACATTTACTGACGCACCTCTTTAAGTTGCTCTTTTCGCTGCCTGTACTGGCGTTTCTGAGACTCAACCAGGCTGGTCAACTCCTTCTTCTGCTGGCCCAAGATATGCTGCTGAAACTTCTTCTCTTCTGTAAGACCGCCCTTAGTCTAAGGCAAAAGAGAAGGAGAAGTATAGAAAAGACATCTGAAAAGCGATCCGAAACCATCACGCATTGTCTCCTCCACTTACCTCTTTCTCCAGGATGGCCTGGTGCTTCTTACTGAGCTTGTCTGCTTCACTGCTGAAGTTGTTCCTCTGCGTCTCCAGCTCTTTGTCGAGCCTTAGCTGATGTTCGTCCATCTCTGCCTTCAGCTTGTTTTCCAGAGCCATCAGCTGTTTCTGATGCTGCCTCCTCATGCGTTTGTATCTGGACATCTGCTCTCTCAGCGCTGAGCCCTGCTCGTGCTCCTGGATCTGACGGGTCACCAAAGAGGCAGTGCGGATGGTGGCGAAGTGGTCCCGTCCTCTGCGTCGGCGACCGCCAGAGGGGCCTTGCTGCTGGGAGTCCACCTCTGGCTGGTAGGGGTCGTCGTAGATGTTATCATGGTTCTGTGTGGGGACAGAGAGTGACAACTGAAGGAAGAATCATAAAAATAAATGTGTATTTGTGCTTTGAATAATGTTTTTTTTCTTTTAAAGATGTCTCTAATGCTCACCAAAGATGAAATTAAGTTTTTTTTTTTTTATGTGAATATATTGTAAAATGTAATTTATTCCTGCGATCAGAGCTGAATTTTCAGCATCATTACTCCAGTCTTCAGTGTCACATTCTAATATGCTGATTTGCTGCTCAAGAAACATTTCTGATTATCACAAATGTTAAAAACAGCTTTTTTTTCCTGCTTAATTTAGTAGAAACCATGATACACTGCAATTTAAATGTTTGGGGAAATTAAGATGATATCAAAAGTGACAGTAACGACATTTATAATGTTACAAAAGATTTCTATTTCAAATAAATGTGGTTCTCTTGAACTTGTCACAAAAATATTAATGGGTTTCAACATTGATATAAAAACCATCAATAATAAATGACCAGCAATAATAATTGAGCAGCAGATCAGCATATTAGAATGATTTCTGAAAGATCATGTGACACTGAAGACTGGAGTAATGATGCTGAAAATACAGATTTGATCACAGGAATAAATTATATTTTAAAATATATTAAAATAGAAAACAGCTATTTTAAATTGTAATACTATTTCACAATATTACTTTTTTATTTTTACACTATTGTTTTTTTTATTGTATTTTTACTTTTTAAATACTTTTTATTGTATTTTTACTTTTTGCAATATTGTTTTTATTGAATTTTTGAGCCGTGGTGAGCCTAAAAAGCTATGTTCAACAACACGGGAAAAAAAAATCATAATTATTCCAAAGTTTAGTTTGACGGCAGTGATGTGTCGTTTCACCACGCGCAGCTCAAACAAAGCCATTAACACGTACCAGTGGTTTGTGCAGCACTGAGCTGTTAGAGGTCACTGTATGTTCACCCTCCTGCATCATAGCCATCTCTCCGCTGTCATCCGAACCATCTGCAAGGCTGTTCACCGAAGAACTCTGGGAGCTGGCACTGATCGACATAGACGGCAGCGAATGGGAGCTCTCCATGCTGTTCACCGTGCCCATCCGCAACATGTACTGCTCTACATCCTGCAAGACACAAGACTGCGTTTAAAAACAGAAATTACAGTTCCAGCAGGAGACTGATCGCCCAACTTTTTAACAGTCATTTTTAATACTAGCTGGAAATGTCCTTTGCAACAATCATGTAACCATGATTGCTCCTATTTAGATCCGAGAACTCGCATAACTTTTGGCCTTTGATCCATGTTAGCTCATATGAGGCTATTTATCAATTGTAAAAGTGTGTTCTAGAATATAATTGTTTCGCAATGCTAATGTGAACAATCTGCAAAATAAACAGTTGGGGGGGGGGGGAAATCTAATGTCTATTATCATCTTGTATTAGTGCATTAGGTCTTAAAGTGACTGCAGCCTAATAAACCTGCTGCAGTCTGTATTGTTAATCAAACATCAAAAGACTCTTGATCTTGACTGAATAACATTATTAGCTTCAATAAATTAATTCAAACTGCGAATTTTGGTCTTGAAGTGCATCAGATTAAATTTGACAGAAAAAGATCTGAAAAATGTTATGGCACTGTTGTATTTGACCTATTGTTTGTTATTTGCATCTTTGTTCTTATTTTTAATAACAATTATAAAATAAAAAAACAGGTTGTCACAGCTAATAAATTTAAAAAGCTGAAATAAAAAAAAAAGTTCATACATTATAAATAATATAATTAGAGAAAATGCATTGTGGTCCATCGAATTGTAATCAAATCGTGACCATTCACACCTCTAATGTGTTCATAACACATTTTACATCCATATATTGACAGATTACAGTGGGGGGAAAAAAGCAAGCGGAACCGTTTTATCCATTGATTGTCTGAATTGCGAAGTGGTCTCCACAACAAGAGTTCAAGGGTAAAGATAGAAAAACATGAAAAACAAAAATAAGAAAGAAAAGCCATTTCAGAGGCAAAACAAGTTATTACATTGGAAGAAACACTACAAAGAAAAACCTCTTTACAATAGCGGGCATTGAAAGTCATTCTTAAGTTCATATTGACTTTAAGGCTAGCTAAATCAAAGTGTCAATTTGCCACAACGACAAATCACTCAAGCACAGTCAAGGTCAGAACAGAGCAAAAGAACAAAGACTCCAACTCCAAGCGTTTGAAACATGAGCTGAACATGTCTGTAAAGACAGTCAATAGACAAAACTATTGACCAAACCCTAAATTATGTTTATGTCTATTGTTAAAACGCATTCTTCTCTGGTGCCACATAAGAAGACGGCAGATTTATTTATTGTACTGACCAACTAACACATTTGATATTTCCAAATATAGCTGTTCTACTGCGGTGTAAATAAATGAACTGATCATGCACAACTCTTTCAAAGGTAAGTTATCCTGAAAATCAATCTTCCTTTTTTGTTTTGATTTGACAAAAGACAAGTTGAAAGGTCATCCCACCTCTTCCTCCTCTGTTCCCTCGGTGGCCGGGCCATTATGCGTTTCCTGGAAGAGGATCTTCTTCATCTTTCGGTATTGCAGGTTATCTAACTCCCTCACGGCGTCTTTAGTGCGTGCTATCAGATCCATCACCGCGGTCACCGGACGCTCACGGCACAGGAAGTGATGCTGGAGAAATAAAGCGGAGAGGTTTATTTCAAAACCGGAATTACTGAACACACGTTTAAAAAGTCTTAATGCTCCTCAAAAGACTTTTACTTTAAGTAGCACATCAGAGGTAGGTCTGTCCTGGGCGATCTTCTGCAGACAAGAGTCTACAAAGTTACGGAAATAATCCGACCTGAGAGGAAACAAAACATGAAAATTAGTGAGTAGGGCAAATCAAAAGGCAGCATCTTTTTAGGTCAACTGGACACAGAGTGAACAACGTAAAAGCTTTAGATAGAGTACTCAGGCACCAAGTCGAATCATGCATGTGAACGATCAAATGCAATTTGCATAATATATATAATTTGTTCTATTGCTTTTATTTGTTCCATTTAGGGGTGGACGATAGACCAGTAGACATGATAAACTGGCAGAAATTTAACAACTGATTTTGGATTATCGATCGCAATTACTCACATGAGATTTTAGTGTTGCGTCATCATAAAGGTTTATCCTTTGCTCGCATTTTTAAGTAAGTTAAATCTTTGAAGCGATTTTAATCCGTTCAAGCACAATGAGACACAAAAGAGCTGTCAATACGGGACTCACACTCTGTTTTGACAGACAATTTTCTGTGTGCAAACTGTACAAAACTATTTTTTTAAAGCTGTAAACAGAACAAGCATGTTGTATATTGGTATATTAAGGTATGTTTTACATTAGAACTTACTATCAATTTCTGAACATTCTTTTATGTCTTAAGTGAATGTAAACAGTTCAGACATACAGTATATCAGTATACTGGATCAGTGCATTCTGTCTTAAATTGATAGCAGCCTAATATACATGCTGCTGTCTGCATCATTAAAGGGGTCATCAGATGAAAAATTCACTTTACAAGTTGTTTGAACATAAATGTGTGTTGGAAGTGTGAGTACACATCCATCCTATAATGATAAAAATTCACCCAGTGTTTTTTTTTTTTTTAAATCCCTATTTTAATCCCCTTTCTCAAATCAGGCTGTTCTGAGATTCCTGTCAGAATGACATAGTTCTGCACAGGCCCCACCCACGATAGTTGATTGACACTAGCGTCTTACCTTAGACCTGCCCTGAGTGAGCTAAGAGCTGTCCGCCATTGTGTCGACTCCGGTGCAGGGGAAGACAAGAACGTCTCCGATTAAGCGATTGAGGTGTTTTGTTGTTGGATGTAATAATGAATATAGCAGTCGTCATTTACTCCCGACATCTGAGCCGCTGAAGATGCAGAGGATTAACGTTACTTTCATTTTGAAGGGAATGCGCTGATCCCGATCTGCCTTAATGCGTCTATGTTCGCGCGAATCATTCGTGATCCAGCTTCACCTACAGAAGAAGTGAGTATAAGCAGCTTTTTTATGAATCTATGCAAATCTCCTTTCCTAATAATGTGCTAGTTAGCCAGTTTCGCGGCTGAAGATTACAGTCTGCTCGTCACTCCACGGAAGAGAGGGGCGGGGTCAGCAGAGCTCATTAGCATTTAAAGCAACATGGACTAGAATGGCTTGCTGAAAACAGAGCTGATTTTGACAGGGTCAAAACGCAGTGAAAACAACGCAGCGAAAACTTTACAGTAGATGGGAAACCGATTGCTCCCTCGTGGCCTTTTGTAAACTGTATGACAAAGAACTGCACAGATACAGATATTATAACAATCTATTGCAAAACGCAGTGAAAACAACGCAGCGAAAACTTTACAGTAGATGGGAAACCGATTGCTCCCTCGTGGCCTTTTGTAAACTGTATGACAAAGAACTGCACAGATACAGATATTATAACAATCTATTGATAAACACACAGCTTGTGTCCTCTGTTTCTGTTTGAGTCCGCTTGCGCCGCCGCGGTATGCAGATTGAAGAACGCGCTTGAAAGACGGGGAGGAGACGAATTCTGCCGTCGTTTTCATATGAAATTTAAAGGGGACTGACTCTGAGGCGATCACGAATTTGTGTACAGTTTATGGAGCTAATCACTATAGCCCATTCTTCTTACGTCAATTTCGGAGAACCAGGACAAATTTTTCAATCGATCTCTCAGGCATTTAAGTGGCACCGAAATCTGCGTTCTGATTCGGTTCTAGTACATACCGGTTACACAGGTACCGTACCGGGTTTCGGTACCCAACGGTATTGATTGTTATTAAGGATTATGAAACGTCAACATCCTCTTAAATTGTGGGGCCATGACCACGTTATTTCCACCAAAAATAATTACTGTGATATTGTTATTGTGAAATAGATTTACTCATATCATGATATAATATCTTGGTCATATCACCACCCCTAGTTTTAGTAATAAAAATAAATATTACTAAATCTAATTACTTAGTAATATTTATTTATTAAATTAAGACATATTTCAAGGCTATATATGCTATATAGATAACACTATTTCTGTATTAAAATAGCTTGTTATAAGAATTTTAACAGCATATAGAAAATGGTTTTAAGCCTTGAAGTTTACATTTCTGCAATCACTAATCAAAATGTCTGAGGAATATCAATACAGCGCTGCCTTGAAAACACGGTAAAAAGCAAAAGATTTTTGACTGTGGATGAAGCTTCTCTGGTTCCCTACCAGTGATTGGACTGCAGGACTGGGCTCTCGTTCTGGGCGATGTGGTATAAGGCACTCATAGCATTCATATTAAACAAGGGAGGCTTTCTCTCCGCTACAATCAAGGAAAAGGAAACAAGCAAGCAGTTAGCTGCAAGGCTTCCATTGTAAGCATACTACTGTAAACTACTTAATATTATTGTCTGGTAATGAACAACAAGCCACAAACACTAAAAAAAGGTTTATTTTCACACCATGTACTGGGTGTTCACTTTCAACAGGCTTTTGCACATCCGAGATGACTCACCAAGCTCTATGCAGGTGATGCCGAGTGACCACACGTCAACCTTCCCATCATACTGCCCTTCATCCATGGCAAGGATTACCTCTGGAGCCATCCTGGAAACAGAGCACAACTCGGTCATAACTGTCCTAACAGTAACTGCCCAGATCATGTCATTAGACTGATCTTAAGTGGGAGTAAACCATTTAAAAACCATGTAAAATTAAATGAAAGCATATGAGTATACTTCTGGCAAATATGTTGTTGTAATGAATGGGAAGTGTTTTTGTACCAGTAAGGTGTGCCCACAAAGGAGTTGGCTGGAGCAACAATGGAGGCGGAACCAAAGTCTCCCAGTTTGACCTGGCCAGGCTCTGTCAGTAAGATGTTACCTGCTTTCACATCCCTATAAAAGGAAGAAACATATTTTCTTTGAATCTTTAATGCTGTAACTGAAGGGGACAGCCAAAAGTACCCACAAAATCTCATCACTAATTCATATAGGCCATAAATCAGAATGTATTTGTGTTACACTCTTAAAAATAAAGATTCCATAAGGGGGGCTTTCACAGAGATGCCATAGAAAAAACATTTTGGGTTCGCCAAAAAACCCTTCAGTGAACAGATCTTAAAAGAACCATTTCTTCTTAGTGTGAAGGACATTTTATTAATCTGAAGAACCTTTTTCCACTTTTAAAACCTTTTGTGGAATGGAAAGAGCCTTCATGGCAAAAAGTTCTTTATGGGACCATCAATGCAGATAAAGAGTCTTAATCTTTAAGAGTGTAGGGATGTGCGTTATGGGATGATTTTGCCACAGAAGTGGCAAAAAAGCTGCATTTAAAGCAGCATTTAGATGTATTTACACAAACATTACAACTGCATACATTACGCTATGAGATTAACGTTTTAAAAATAATATTTTGCATTTTGAAATATGTACAGATTTTTTTTATATGAAATTAAACCACCAGTAGGTGGTGGCAAGTCACTGCCTTCATCAGTGAGTTACTGAATCATTAATTCAACCAAGATTCATTCAGAAAAAAAGCAAGTGACTGATGGTGCATTCCAAACGGGATATATCGCCCTCCGAAGGGCACTTCGGAGTGAAAACAATCATATTGAAGAGTCGTTCCAAACCGAAGTGCTCAAAACTGGCCACTTCAAAATGAAGGATTGCATACAACTGATGGACACTTCGGGCTCCCATGATCCTTTGCACAGATTCTTTGCATGATGACGCCGCCTCCATGTGGGCACGTGATGATGACGCAGAAGGGCACTTCAAGAAACAGTTGTTTGGTCCTCTACACCCTTCAAAGCTCTCACTCCGGAGGGTAAACCCTTTGAAGGGATTAGGGCATAGGGATAAGCCCTTCCGAATGGAACGCAGGGTGAGTTTTGAATTATTGATTTGTTCAAAAAGACAGATTAATTTAGTAACAAAACACATCTGTGTTTTGTTCGGTTCTGATGTGACTTTGTTTGGAACTATATCACTGAAATTAAGTAAAAATTTACAATATTGTGTCTAAATGTTAATCTCAATATTAACCTCGTTTTCAAAACTGTTCTCAATCAATATCACATTTGGAATCATGCTGACATTTGATCAAATAAAAGCATTATTGTATGATATATTGCTTGCTCGATTAATGTCAGCTTCCACATCATTAAAACGAGAAATACGATATTGTAGACGATATGTATCGCACACCCCTAATTTGCCCGATGCTTTTTTTAGAACCAAGAATTGAGCTGCTCTGTACCTGTGAATCATGTTGTGCGAGTGGAGGTACACCAAGCCCTGTAATGCACCATGGGTAATTGCTGCAATCTCCACTTCCTGTAATGGTTTCTTGTGCACTGAGGGAAAGGGGAAGAAAACAGTGGGATCCTGTTTTTTGTTTCTGCAAACTCCTAGCAAACAACTGCATCATTTTACACTTCTGCTTCTGGCCGAACAGCTCTAAACATCCACATGCTCCCTGAAACAACTCACTCACCTTCCAGCAGATCCGAGGCCGAGCCCAAACAGTATTCCATCACCAGCTAAAGAAAAGTAGGACAGGAAGATCAATGAGTGACAGACACAGAAAAGAGAAAGGTGGAGATAAAGAAAAGGTATAATTGCTGTTAGCAAGCGACAAGTGGTGCATGCAGGGCTGCTATTGTAGCAAATTGAAACAATGTTAGCGGGTCAGTACATTCTCTTCCCTGAACGAGGCTTTTGAAAAGAGTTCAGCCTCCCTCCCACACACAGAAACACTCACCCATGCTGTGTGTTCGCGCAGGTAGCAGCCCCTGTACTCCACCGTGTTGGGGTGCCGCAGCTTTTGAAGGAACTTAACCTCTTTGACGATATCCTGCCATTTCTACAGCAGGAACGAGAGAACAATGAAACAATCAAGGGACTATTCAGCCCCTTCGGTTCAAATGCTGCATTTCTGATCTATGCGAGTGTGGGAAACATAACCAGAAGTTTCTTTCAAATGTATTGTGGTGAGATTGCAAATGAGGCGTGAGGCGTTCAAGTGTTCTGCGGCACAGTGAAGGGAGTAGTTTCCACCGTTTAAATGGCACAACCATCTATTTTAGCCAGAGAGACGCAGCGTGATTTGCATAATTTGAATACAATGCTGGGGCTCACAAAGAACAGAACTTGGTAACATGCCGGTAACAGTATTCTGTGACCGCATATGAACTCGGTTACAAAACACAGTGAGCTGCTTTCCTATCTAGTGCCTACACAGGCAGCATCCTAACTATAACCTCATAAGAAAGCTATATGAAATGCTATATATAGGCAATGACTCAACTCACAATAGTGCGCACTTTTTTCAGTGAATTTAAAGTTTTCGTTGAAATTGCAATTTTCCCCAAATTGTGTAGCCCTAGTTTGAGTGAACATGCATACTAGAGTATACTTTAAAAAGCGTTTGCATCAAAACTGCAGGCAGCATAATATTCTGCCAACACTTTCAAACATCCTTTGTGTCAGACGTCTGCCTATGATGCCTAAAAATGCTTTCCAGGTAGGCAGTTCAGTAGGTTTTGGAACAGAGCCATCATCTTACATAAAGCCACCTGCACGATGTCCGAGATTTCTTGCAGACCAAATTCCAGCAGAGACACATTGCTTTGTTTAACTAAAGATGTAGGAACACTTCTTGTTTGTGTGATTGTGTTCACCTCATTAGACTGTTTGCCACTGTAGGACATCTTCTTGATGGCCACCACCTCATTGGTGCGGATGTCATGGGCCTATAAGAAGCGTGCAAATACATGTGAGGAGTGAAAAACAGAGGCACAGATAGTTCACTGAGCTGTGCTACAGCTCTGAATGTCCTAATGGCCACTTACAAAGTAGACGGCTCCGAAGCTGCCATGGCCGATCTCCCGCAGGTCTGTGAAGAGCTTCTCAGGATCCTCCTTGTAAAAAAGTTCCGCCACCTCTGGGTCCTTGAGACTCCCAGCCCGCACACTCGACGGCATAGCCAGCGCCTTCACACACGCAAACAAAAGACAGTTTGCACATTAACATCAGAGGAAACAGGAATGGAGTGAAGACCCTAAAACACAACCATTAGGAGAAACTAAACGGGACGAATCAACTGTAAGGCATGAACCTTAGATACAGCAAACAACTCAAAAATCTAGCATACAGCTGAACACTTCATGCGAGCAGAAATGCTGATTCAAAAGGGCGAGTCCTATATTTCTTCAACAAATCATTAATAAATAATTCCAACAACCAATGATAGAAACATTTGTCTATCAAAAGTGCCCAAATATGGACCAGAATGGGCATCTGATCAAAATTAATCAAAGCTAGGAACCCATTCGAATGCTCTGTAATTTGCATACATTGTGACGTTACCCAAGTCCTTTAATATTTTAGTAATGTACCAACTGACATAATTTACAGCATTAGTCAAGAGATTTTTTTTTTACTCACTATATCCGAGATGCATCCAAAATGATCAATACAAAATAGAATCAAGAATTCTAAATCAGAATCATCGAATCATGAAACCTAACATATAAATAAAGTTAACAAAATTAAATTAGCCTATTTTTGCATCTATTGGCTTATTTATTGACCAAAATGATCCAGGAATAAATATGTTTGCTGTATAAAGTATGCAAACAACTACAATTATACGTTCACTCAAACATGTATTTTGGAGTCAGGTATTTTACAGTAATGAGACACCAAGTTTAGCAGCCCTGCCCAATTGAAAGATCATGAACCCGAGTCTTCTTTATCCAGTCTGCTCCTGGGGCCAGTTGCATAAACTTAGCCTTTATGTTAAGACAGTGTCTTAAGTACAAGTTTGACCAACTAGCAGATAGTCTTATTTTTAGACTAATCTAAGCTTTTATGTAACTGAATTAAAAAAAAAATTATGACTAGTCTTAAAGAAAAAATTGGATGACTAACTTGTAAGACCAGTCTAAACCTTTTATGCAACTGGCCCCTGAAGTGTGCAGATATCTGTAAACAAGTTTCTGGAAAGGTTGACAAAAATGTATGATTATATGAATTATAAAAGAATTTGGACTCCTTTAATCTAAGGAGTGCACAAGTGGAAGAAATTCAACAACACTGTTATTCTAGAAGTGCTCATCAAAAAAAATCAGTCCAGGAGCAAAACATATCATTCCAGGAGATAGGCCTATCTTGCATTAGTTAAGGACAGTGTGCATGGCAGGACAGAAAAAAGGAAACCACTGCTCTCCAAGAAGAACAAAGTGCTGTGGGATGACGTCTTTTTGTAGGCCAAAACCTGGAAACAAGTTCGCATATCAGCAGTTCCACTTCCATTGTCCTGAAGTCAATGGGTTTTTTGAACGGGATTTTAGTTAAATGCCTGAAATACGGTCTGTGGTGAACACAAGCTCAAAATATTTTCACGTTTTATTCAATGACATACAATATAACAGCAATACCCCTAGTGTTTTTTTTTTATGATTTTACCTGTCTTGTCTAGACAGTTTCTAACAAGTGTCTTAAAGTCACTACAGTAGTTGTCAGAGACATTAAAGGTGGGGTATGTATTCTTTTCAAAAACGCTAGAAAACCGAGTCAGGCCGAGAACCCAAACAAACTTGTAACCAATCAGTAGTAAGGGGCGTGTCTACTCATGATGGGGATGAGAGCGCGCTCAGTGCACAGGACAAACATTAGCCAAGCCGAGCGATGACGGAAAGATAGAGATGGCGGATAAAAAAAACAAGAGGAAAACATCTGCGGAACAAAAGAAGGCTTACGATAAGGCAAGAAGCAGGACCCGTGTAAATATCGGATCAGTTTTCCAACGCTGGAGAGAACTCAAGGAGCAGGAAGGCCTGCGATCGGATGTTGAGGTTGCTTTGTTTCTTCTAGATAAGTAAGTAACATTGGTTTTGCTTTGTTTCACAGAACTAATATATGCTGGCTTTTGTTTGAATATGCTCGTGTGTCATAGTCGTTGCCTGGGTTGCGTACGTATATGTGTGGGGCGGAGCTATCAAAATAGGGGCTAGACCCTTTTGGGGTAAGGGCGTGTTTGTTTTGGTGATATGAAATATCAACATTGGCTACCAGAAATCACTTACCCCACCTTTAAACATCACAGCGAACAGGTAAACTCACCTACTGACTAGTCGCATTCACAGCCTTTTTGTGTTTATAATCACGTTCTTGCAAACTATTCCAACTCAAATGTTCATATAAAATGACTGAAAGAGTTGTTGGAAGTTTAACGGTGATGCGTTGAAATCATGTGACTGCGGCGTAGTTCCTTAATCTACGTTTAGCTTTGCACTCCATTGTATTTATGAAGACTATCATGATGAACAAAACATGTAAGAATCAAAGTTTTGTTAGTCACGGAGCTTATATTTTTTATAATAATCCAAAAGCCAATGGAAAAATCCAATTGGGTTTTTGTCAGGGGAATCAGGATGATGCAAACTTCTTAGCCTATAAAAACGCCATCATCACTACAGAGCTCTAACGTTGCCAGTTTAAAGTGTGCTGATAGATTAGTAAATGAGCCAGAAGACAGATGAGACAGAACTTTTTGTTTTAAATGAGAAGTGTTATATTTGGCCTTCAGTAAAAGGAACCTCATTCATCTCTTTACCAGGACGGATTTGACTGTGAACTGAAGCTACACTGAATGTGAGTCCTTGCAGGATAATGACCATAAACGTTAAAGCAGAAGAAATATGTTTTTTTTTAAAAGGCCAAAGTTCTGATCTTAACCCAACAGAAATATTGGGAAAGGATCTGAAGAAACCAATTCTTGCATGGAAACCCCTCAACATCATGGAGTTGAAACTAAATGGGCCAAAATTTCTTCAAGCTCATGTGCAGGACTGGGTTACACCAAAGATGCAGTTTAAGTGAAAAAATAAACATTGTTTGTGACATTGATTTAATTGGGTTTTATGCATCTAGTTATACAACTCCGATGAAGATCAGGTCTCAACGCAAGTCAGATTTATGCAGAAAACTCTTAAGGGTTCACGAACAGTCAAGTGCCACTACATAATGTAGAAGCAACAGAGTGCATTATATAAGAACAACTGAAATAGAGCGATGATCTGAACCAGCCACCATTGAAATGATTGTGTGAATAATTGTGCTTGATTATGCATCATGTAAGAGTGTTCAAAAGCAGGACGCTGGACCAGACACCTGACTCAGAATTCAGATTCACACCTCTCCATGAAGCTCCGAGTCATTTTCATGTTAAGATTACACCTGTTTAACACGCATGCAAAAAGAGCAACAGCAGATGAAGTCTGAGAATTTACAATGCATGGCAGAATAAAAGGAAGTATGACTTTCACATGAATGCATCATTTTTTTTTCAGCCATTCTTGTATCAATGTTAACCTTATAAAGCCTACTAAGATATTTGCTTTGTGAAATCCTCAAAATTAGCAAAATGATTAAAACTAAGCTGAAAAACCTGTTGTGCAGAATCTACCACATGCCTTCTGTCATCTGAGTGTCAGTTTATACTTTGTGGTAAGTAAAAGGCCGTTTTGTATAATTGTAAAAATGTCAGGTGTCTTCCATAATGATTTTTGAAGTAAACATAAGAACGACTTTTACATTGGTAGTAAAAATTTCAAGATAAATACTTACAGGATTGAAGTGACGTAGGTTTGCTTAATTATCCATAAAGCAGTTTTTAGAAAAACTGTTAAAATGCGAGTATCAAATACGATCTGCATGATTTTTACTAGGGATGCACGATATATCGGCCACCATATCGGTATCGGCCAAAATTTTCATATCGGTGCATCCCTAATTTTTACTGTACATTTCTGCCATATGGACATCCCCTCGACTGATAAGCTACTCCTAAATATAATGTAGAAACTTTAATTTTCTGGGAAGATGTTTTGCAACGATTTGTATGGTGAATAAACATGAATTGATCCATCAGGCTTTTGAGGCATGTTTATTTGTTCATCTCTCAATCATCACTGTATTATTATATGTCTGGACACTACAGAGCTTTGATTAGAAAACGAAGCATTTCAATCTTGCTAGAAATATAATAGGGAGATATAGCGACAAATGATATTAACAGGCATTTTTAAGTAATCTGTTACAAGGTCTCATTGATTTAAATAACAAGCTATCAGAATTGCATCTTACTTTTAGACCATATAAATACCAGCCTCTGCACCAAATTGCATGTTTGTGCATCTGAACAAAACTGAGGTGTTGTTCCTCCTCGAGCTCCATATTCTCACTATGTCATACAGTATGAGCCATAAAAGCCTGGTTATCAATCACACACACACACACACACACACACACACACAAAACACTTTAAACATTAAGATTTTCTTTGATATGTGCTCTTAAGGTCCAATAAACTGTTCCATTTCAAAACGCAGGTTTTCACACGTCAAGCTTGACAGGGTTAAATGATATATTGTGTTGCACCATCATTTAATGCAGCATGCGGAAGATAAAGCGATGCAGCTCAGCGAATGTTACATTGTGCAAGCCCATAAAAACACACGCCATGCACAGCAAAAACAGCTGCATCGGTCCAAATGGCATTTCGACCACAGAAATCACAGTCTAGCGATGTTTCACGCCATGCATGTCATCCAGCGCTGCATTAAATGATTTACACGACTCTGTCTTACCGTGGTGTATGGGATCCACTGTAGCTAGCTAGAGACAGCTAGCTCCCGGCCTGCTGAGGAAAATCTGGCCTCTCCGTCCCCGTTCTCACTTCACAAAAAGCGATCGATTTAAATAGCGACCCATCTATTTCTAACGTAATGATCGCGAGGGGTGGCGACGAGTAACTTAATCTGTCTGTGTATTTCAATGGAAAATACCGCGGTTAACCGTTAACGGACTCGATCAAGCTGACTGTCAAGCACAACGATTAAAGTCTGCTTTTTATTTGTATTCCGCCTCTGTCGCGCGTATCTGCATCATTTTCCCCTCATGCCGTCGGTGTCATGCGGTCAGCTCGTCTCTTTCTGTCATCGAGAGGTCCATCCCTGTTTTTCTTTTCCTCTCTCGTTCGCTTTTTGTTCAGGACTTCATGATGGCGGAGCGGGGCGGGAGCCGACCGGAAACCGGAAGTGCGGGTGAAGCGCAAATGAAGGGTTTCATAACGTTCTGAAAATATGCATTTCATTACAGTACAGCCTCCACACACAGACACAACCTGCGCTGTTCTAGTGGCGTGTTGTGGAGTGAAATGAGGAGGCAAAGTCCCTTTCCAGGTTTGAGTCTTTCAGTCAACGACGTAAATCGATAGCATGTTTATAAATGGGGCAGCTTGCACAAACAACAGAGAAGCAACGCTATAATATTTTTATATAAGCATTATTAAACCCATGTTACGTTATTGTTCACACAAACACCATATGCTTTAAAACTATTAGTAGTAAAGTTCAATAGGTTTCACATCCAGCATCATAAGTATGGTGCTACTTTTATTTGCTGTTCACATTGTTATTATTAGTCACCATATGAATAGTACATATTAAAGGGGTCATATGATGCTTTTTTAAAGATCATTATT